ATATATATATATAAAGAAGTATGTAAAAATAATATACTGACTTACCTTTGTGTCTATCTATTTTACTACTGTTTGCTATAAAGGACATTTCTTCAGGCCAGCTCATATCTTTATTGCGAACTGAAAAGACATATTGGAATGTGTTAATTTCTTATCCATGCAATTCATTTTCACTACATTGCTATGCTAAAAAATTAAGGAAGAGGCTTTTTCTAAATCAGAAACTTAAAAAAGTAAATTTTAGGCCAGGCGTGGTGGTGCACGCCTTTAATCCCAGCACTTGGGAGGCAGAGGCAGGCAAATCTCTGTGAGTTCAAGGCCAGCCTGGTCTACATAGTGAATTCCAGGACAGCTGGGGCTACAGGGAGACCCTGTCTCAAAAAGACCCCCTTGCCCCAAAAGTAAATTTTGGTAATAGGCTCTGAAACCATTCCTATTCTTTCTATAATTTGGAACAGTGTCTCACGTAGCCCAGGGTGGCCTTGAACTTACTATGTAGCCAAGGATAACCAGTTTCTACCTCCTAAGTGCTAGAATTACATGTGTATACCACTCTGTCTTGTTTCATGTGGTATTGGGGATTAAATCTAGGACTTTATGCATGCTATGCAAGTACTCTACCAAATGAACTGCATTGGTAGCTCCTTCCTAGTCTCCCCTTTTTAAATTGATTTTTTTTTTTTAGGTTAGCATACAAAGTAATGGGTATTATCATGGCATCTTCACACATATGCATTTTGTTCATTCCTACTCTTTTTACTGGGGACTTTAAAGTCACTTCATAGAATTAATAAGCTACTACTTTTAATTACCTATTTGAGGTAAAATTATACTTAACCATATACAGAAGTTATTAAAGCTTAGACACAATGAAATTTCCTAAACTTAAAACATCAGAAATATGAAAAAAATATTTTGTTTTATATTGTTTTGAGATAAAGTCTAACTACGCAGCCCTGGTTGGCTTGGAATGCACTATGTAGACTAGAGTGGCCTTGAAAGCACATACATGATCTGCTGCCTCTGCCTCCCGAGTGCTGGGATTAAAGGCAGGCATCACCACACCTGGCTGAAAGTTTTTTCATAAACTGTAACAATAGTAAGGATTGCTGAGGTAGTCTATTAATTTCATTACAATGAAATTAGAAATATTTTCATGAGTCATCACGGAAAAAGACACACCCAAAACTCAATAACATTAATGTGCCAATGTGCAAATTTATGAGTAGTAGCGCCATTAGTGAGGGGACAATGCTGAGAGTTAATATTGAAAGTCTAAGAGAGGGGCTGGGAATATAACATCCATATGCCTAGCAGAGATTAGGTTTAATCCTCAGTACTAGAGGGGAAAAAACATTGGTATCCTTATTCAAATGCAAGCCTGAAAATTTTAAGAAACTGTAAACCTGCAACTAAATTTAATTGTTGCTACCCACACTTCTCATCCCTGGTCAGTCTAAGACCATATATAGACAGGTTATTTATTTACTTTAAAAAATTATTTTATGTGGTCTTTTTGAGACAGGGTCTTCCTGCAGCCTCAGCTGGCCTAGAACTTGCTATGTAGGCCAGGCTGGCCTTGAAGTCACAAAGATCTACCTGCCTCTGCTGGGATTAAAGGTTTGTGCCACCAGGCCCAGCCTCACTATTATTTTATTTAGTTTTTTGTTTTTTGGTCTTTTTGAGACAGGGTCTCCCTGTAGTCCCAGCTGTCCTAGAACTCATTATGTAGACCAGGCTGGCCTTGAACTCACAGAGATCCGCCTGCCTCTGCCTCTGTGCTGGGATTAAAGGCGTGCACCACCACGCCTGGCCACTATTATTTTTTTTAAAGCAATCTAATTAGTATGTTAGAAACACATTAAGAGTTCAATGGATTTGCTTTATCGTAAACAATATGACAAGTTAACTGTTTTGGGAAAAAAAATTATAAAATGGGATTCCTAATAATTCTTTAGTTTTGCCCTAAAACTTAAGAGGAAAAGGCAGCAGGATCAGTAGTTAAGAGATCATCTTCACCTATATAGCAAAGTTCAAGCCATCCTGGGCTACAAGAGAACTTGTCTCAAAAATATGGAAATGAAAACTGAGTGTGGGGCACACACCTTTTATTCCAGCACTACAGAGGCAGGGGTAGGCGGATCTGTGAGAGAGAGGCCAGCTTGGTCTATACAGAGAGCTCTAGGTCAGCTAGATCTGTAGAGACCCTGTCTCAAAAAAAAAAAAAAAAAAAAAAAAAAGAAAAAGAAAAAAACAAATACAAATACAAACAGACAAAACAAAACCAAAAGTCACCAAACCACCCCCACTCCTAAATAAACCCAAACAAAAAAAACCAAAACCTATACCCAAACAGAAACATCAAAACCCACTACTCAACGTTCCCCCATCTATGATAATAACAACAAAAACCCCTCCCAAACCTAATACAGATGTACATTTCCATTGTGTACCTTCAATTACTAGGTGCTGCTCATCCTGGATTTTCAAATATTCCAACCTATGATCCTCGTCATCCAGAAGAGTAAGGTAGTTCTGTGGAGAAGGAGGGAATGTTTTTGTTAATTTGGTTAGTAAACTTCAAACAAATACAAAAATAAAAATGTGATAATTAACATTTCCTTGTATTTATATAATTCATCTTACAGATATTTAGTTGTTCACACCTATTTATAGTTTAGGTACTAAAACCAAGGAATTACAATGTGTTCTATCATTTAACAAAGATTCTCTATGTTCCTGAAACAAAATTTTACATAATTTGTGGGGAGAGTAGACAATTCATCACAGACCAAACCAAAGCTCACTGAAACTACAGACCTTGAAGAAAAAAAAAATTCTTTCTCTTTTGCACTTCTGTGAAAACGGAGATAAAGAACATTAAGTGACCTGCCCTTAGTTATACAACTAACAAACAGTGGCAGAATTAGGATTTAATGTCTAGCAAGGTAGATAGGGGTCCTGGATGGGAAGGAGGAATTTTTCACTCTGTACTTTGTACTGTTTGTGCTAGCAAGTGTTTAAGTGTTTGTTTTTTTGTTTTGTTTTGTTTTTTTGAGACATGGTCTCCCTGTAACCCCAGCTGGCCTGGAACTTATTATGTGGAACAGGCTGGTCTTAAACTCAGAGGTATTCATGCCTCGGCCTCCCAAGTGCTGGGATCAAAGGTGTGCGCCACCATGCCCAGCCATGTATAAATGATTTAAAAATAAATCCAAAATCAAATGTATATATATATATATTTTAAAGCAAAGTATTTGCCATTCTTTTAAAATGCAATAGCAATCTTTACAAGATGGTGCTGCTCATGGTAATCAACTATTCACGTGTATGCATGCACTAATTTTTTAAAAAGAATTTATGTGTATGCGTGTATTGCCTGCATGTAAGTAAGTGCACCCGTGTTGTGCAATGCCCTCGGAGGTCAGAAGAGGCTGTTGGATCCCCTGGGACTGGAGTTATGGACAGCTGTTAGCTGCTATGTGGGTGCTGGGATTCGAACCTGGTTCTTCTGCAAGAACAACCAGTGTTCTTAACTGCTGAGCCATCTTTCCAGCCCCCTCATGCACTAATTTAAAAGTGGAAATTTTCAAGCTGGGGCATGGTGGAACATGCCTTTAGTCCCAGCACTGGGCAGAGGCAGGTGGATCTCTGTGAGTTTAAGGCCAGCCTGGTCTACATAGTGAATTCCAGGTCAGCTGGGGCTACAGGGAGACCCTGTCTCAAAAAGACCCCCCCCCAAAAAATCAAGTTTTCATCTTAGAAATGGCTTTTAGCATAGCTATTATAAATGAAAGTCTCATATTCATGAAATATGATTTACTATGTTTTTTCAAACCCACGGTGTTCTGGTTTGCTTCTTCATTGCTGTGACAAAACACTCTGACCAATACTAACTTGGGGAGGAAAGGGTTTATTCAGCTTACATCTCCCAGGTCGCAGTTCATCAGGGAGCCCAAGGTAGGAACTCAGGGCAGGAACCTGGAAGCAGGAGCTAGAGTACAGGCCATGGAAGAACACTGCTTACTGGCTTTCTACCTGGGCCCTGCTCCGCCTCCTTTCTTATACAAAATAGGACCACCTGCTCGCGGGGGGAACCACCCACAGTGGGCTGGGCCCTCCCACATCACTCATCAAGAAGATGCCCCTCAGACCTGGCCACAGACCAGTCCAATAGAGGCAATTCCCCAACTGAGGCTCCCTCAACCCAGGTGTGTCTAAACTGTGATAACTGTGATAACTAAAGTTATCCAGCACACACGGCTTTATACATACAAGGCCAGTGCTCTACCACTAAGCTATATCCTCAGCATGATTTACTATCAGACTCTTTATGACTTGGAGATGCCTCTTACCTCACTATTGTACAGCCACAGGCGCATATCTTCTTCTTTGATTCGAAGCCTTTGAGACAGATATTCATGAATTTCCTTGATGGTTTGCATTCTACTAAAACAGCCTGTATAGGCGAGTACTCGCTTTAGCGGAGCATTTGGAGAAGGTACATTTCCTATGGTTATAGTAATCACAATAAGGAGAAAAGGAGATGTAAAAAACTAATAGACAATCAAACCTAAAACATGTTTCAGCAATGGAGGCCACACTAATTTAGGAAAAAAAGATGTGACATAAATGAAGAATACTTAACATTTTGAAAATTCGTGGGCATGTAGCACATGCCTGTAATCCCAGCATGTGGGAGGCAGGAGGATCAGGAATTAGGGTCATTCTTGGTTACATAAAGAGTTCCAGACCAGACTGGGCTACAAGAGACCCTGTCTTAAACAAACAAAAACAAAAACTGGAGCTGGGTAGGGGAAAGCTTGAGAATAAACACAGGTGACCCAAGTACCTTGACCTCAATTTGAAAAGAACAATAGCTGGGTGTGGTGGCACATGCCTTTAATCCTAGCACTTGGGAGGCAAAGGCAAGGAGAACTCTGAGATGTTCCTAGAGTGGCAACATACTGACAAAAACAACTGACATCAGTATATGGCTGCTCTCAGTTTGGAGACAATAACAAGATGAATTAAGATTTTTCTTAAGAATGGGGGAGAAGACTGGGTATTTAGGTCAGCTCATCATGTGCAAAGACCTGGGTTTAATGTCCAGAACTGGAAAATGAAATAAAAAAATCAAGAGTGGGGGCTAGTCAGGTATAGTGGAGCATGCCTTTAATTCCAGCACTCTGGAGTCAAAGGCAGGTGGATCTCTGTGAGACTGAGTTCAGCCTGGCCTACCAGCTGGGCTACAGGGAGACTCTGTCAAAAATCAAACCAAAACACAATGAGTGGGGGTGATTAGATTAGATTTGAATTCCACAGAGAGCTAATTCCAGTGACTTAATCCAGCTCTTAAAACACTGAATTACTAATCCCATCACTCTCTGTCATTAAGTGGGCTAATTACCTGATAGCAGTTATACTGAACAGAAATTGGTATAGATTTTATACGGCCAGACAGTATTTTTGGTTGTGAGCCTGAGCATTTAGTGGCTTCCCAGTTCTCTAGCCCAAGACAATATTTTAAAATGAAGCCAAAGAATGTTTCTGACTAAATAATTAACCTGTTGAAAAACAGAAGGAAATTATCTAGCTTGCCTGCCCAGAAGGATGACAGCAGAATGACTTTGAATTCCTGAAGGTTTTCAGGTGGAAATAAAGAAGACTGGCAATATGGCTGTCTCTCAGACTTTGAGGGACTGGTTGAGGACTCTTCACATATACACTAAATATAGCAAATACATTTGAAACATGAAGGGATGAAATGACAAAACATTATGGAAATCAAAGACAGGTGCCTAAATACTAGCTAAATATTTCACCAAAAATCTAGACAAGAGCTATAGCTTTAAATGGTTATTTCTGCCTTTAAGAGGCTATATTTTGTTAAGCAATCTCAAACAAAAGTATGAACTTAACATATCAATATAGTCCTTCTAGAGTATAAGAATATATTCTAAGGAGCTTTTTTTCCCCCATTCAGTCAGTAGTGACATGGTTGTTTTTGTTTTTCTCACATTAATTTTTTTTTTTTTTGCCTTTTTGAGACAGGGTCTCCTTCTAGCCCCAGCTGGCCTGGACCTTGCTATGTAGAGCAGGCTGGCCTCAATCTCACAAAGATCTACCTGCCTTTGCCCAACTGCTGGGATCAAAGGCGTGCACCACCATGCCCAGCTTAAATGTGTTGTTTTTTTTTTTTTGTCTTTTTGAGACAGGGTCTCCGTCTAGCCCCAGCTGTCCTGGAACGCACTATGTAGACCAGGCTGGCCTCGAACTCACAAAGATCCACCTGCTTCTGTCTCCCAAGTGCTGGGATTAAAGGTGTGTGCCACCACGCCTGGCTAAATGTGTTTTTAAGAGTCCTTATCTACTAACAATCATTTGCTTTATCAGAGTTTCCAAGAACAAGTAATTTTACCTTAGAACGAGTAAAAAAAGCCTAGCAAATAGCTGTAATGAATTGAGTATTTGACAAAGATGGGCATCATGTATAGCAGAACAAAACTCAATCATGATCAATTTTTAAACATGTAGTAAAGCGTATCTCGCAATATCAGCAAGCAAAAATAATCCTTAAACAAAATAAAAAATCTCCAATTACACATCAGAGGATTAGTTATAAGATTACAGCAAGAAAGAAGCCTTATAAAATTTCAAAATGATTCACTGATTGATTTCACAATTAATTAGTCAAGAATAAAGTTTCAAGTTAAGAATAAATTTGGAATGTCAGAAATATCATATTCTAGGATTCAGAAGCATATGCAAGTATTGTGCCCAAGTCAATCTCCACTGTCCTAGGCCACAATAAGAAAATCTGAGTTCTGGAGTCCAGACAGTTTAACTCATTAAGCAGGCAGCCATCTATGCATAATTTTTTTTGTGCTTATGAAGAGAACCAGCAAATCAGGAATTTAGAGAAGCAGCAAAAATCTATGATCTGCACAAGAGTTATAAATAGTTACTAAAAATGCAAGACTGTGTCTTGCCTCTCATGTTACCTTTCAAGGAGAATAAAAAATGGACATAATATGGGTGCCATGAAGGTAGGCTAATCTTTCTATTTACTGGAAAGTTATATCAAGAATGCTTCATAGAGATTTTATTTTATTTTTCCCTGATTTTGATGATTTCCCCAAAGACAAAGTTTGGTTATGTAGCAATCACTGTTTTTCTAGATTTCTTACCAAACAATATGTGAAATCATCTTCATACATTATCTGAATAAAAACACATTAAATAACTTTGCTCAAATTCAAAGGAAAGCTAGCACTTATAGAGAGTTGGTGGTTTAGGCTCAGAGATAATTATTATATAACATTCTAAGAATGTTAAAGACACAGTCTTAGAGTCTGTGAATGGATGAATTCAATTACTTTAAAATTTTTATTTATTTGCTTATTTATCTATTTAGTGTGTATATATGTGTACATGCATGTGTACCAGACATGCATATGAAGGTCAGAGAACAACTTGCAAAAGTTGGTTCTCTCCTTCCACAGTGTGGGTCCTGGGACTCAAGCTCAGGTTGTTAGGCTTGGTGGCAAATGCTTTTTATCTGCTAATATATTTAGGCAGGCCGAATTCATTACTTTTTTTTTTTTTTTTTGAGATAGGATCCTACTGTGTAGCCTCAGTTGGCCCAGAACTTCCAGAACTTGCTGTATAGACCAGGCTGGCCTGGAACTCACAGAGATCTACTCGCCTCTACCTCTCAAATGCTGGGATTAAAGGAATGTGACACCATGCCTGGCTCATAATTTTTTTTTTTTTAACCTCCCAACCACCCTTTTTTTTTTTTGTCTTTTTGAGACAGGGTCTTTCTGTAGCCCCAGCTGGCCTGGAAAACACTATGTAGACCAAGCTGGCCTTGAACTCACAGAGATCCACCTGCCTCTGCCTCCCAAGTGCTAGGACTAATGGTGTGTACTACCATACCCAGCTACAGCTCATTAAATTTTTATTGCTGAAGAATAATTTCAAGTATTTGCAAGGAAAAAGTATGTAAGAATTTGCCATCAATAAAAATTAACCTTAGAGAGGAATCAATGGGGAACATTTTGCATGTTATATATTAATGGGAATTTTTATATATGTCATTTCAATAAGCTTGTGTTAGTATTTTTTGTTCCTTTGTTGAGGGAGAGCTTGGTATTTCTCAAAGCCAATATATTGGGTTGGGGATGTGACTCAGTGGTAGAGCATTTATCTACCTACCATATGCAAAGTCCTGGGTTTAATCTCTACTGCTGCCATAAAATCACCACCCCCCAAAAAAAACCCAAAAAAACCTCTCAAAATCAAAGCAAATATATCATTTTTACTTTATATCTATTTGCTCTGTATTATCTCTTTAAAAAAGATTCTTGGCTAGCTTGAGGAATGTTCTACATTTTGCCAAAATAAAACTAATTCAAAAGATATTAACAAATTTGAATGGAGTTGAAAAGATTGTCTATGATTGGTAGACTGCATCTTAGGGATAACAACAATTTATAACAGCTTACTTCAAAGGAAAAAGTATATAAAAATCTATTTTATTTACTATTTTCATAAACTTACAAACTAGAAGAGGAACATAACTCTTAGATTTCTCCTCCAATTTTGCCTCCATCCCTGTTCAGTCTTGCGCATGACCACAGATCTAAGCCCTACAAGTGATTTACTGATTCTGTATGAAAGCAGATGGTATGTGAATTAGCACAGTGGCACCAGACTGAGCAACCTGATTTTTCAATTTTATTATTAAGGAAATGCATGGCATTCTTGCTGCATTCTTAAGTTACCTCTAGGTAAATGCTGAGGAAACATTCTCAGGCTCATCATACCCATATTCACCCAGATGTTAGACTGTTGTGTCCGAGTGGCAGGCTGCTGTCGCAGGAAGAGAAGATAGCGGGGAAATAATTCTAGCTCTGGCATGTTGGTCTTGCTATTCTTGATTACCTGTTTTTGTGAAAGATAAAAAGTGCTGATGAGGCTGGGCATGGTGGCGCACACCTTTGATCCCAGCACTGAAAGGCAGAGGCAGGCAGATCTCTGTGAGTTCAAGGCCAGCCTGGTCTACACAGTGAGTTCTAGGACAGCTGGGACTACAGGGAGACCCTGTATCAAAAGAACCCCCCCCCAAAAAAAAGTGCTGATGATTCTAAAAGAAGAAATAAAACCATTTTAATCTAACTTGAGGTTCTTTTAAAGACAGCATTGCACTATGTAGCCCAGTCTGGCCTTGAACCATGCTCTTCTTACCTTATTAGCCTTGAGTGGTGGGATTAGTCATATGTAACCATGCTATGACTTCTGACATTAGTTTTTTAAAATGCTCAACAACTTTATCACCTGTGTTTCAGTGGTTTACTCACACTTGTACATTTAAGTTGCAAAGATTTAAATATGCTCAGGCATCTGTTTCTAAATTTATCTTGCAAGATTAGAACTCCTTGCGGATATTTTCTCCTCTTAAAAGGAAAGTGAAGGGGAAAAACAATTTTAAATATTACCTCTGATCTACTATCTTGATGCCATAATTCTTATTACTTTCACATATGTCATGTATTATACAAAAATCACTGACTTAAAAAATTCTTTTTTGGGAGTGGGGAGGGAAGGTTATACAAGGAACCTTGGGGATAAAGGGAAAGAAGGAGATCAAAAGAGGTGGGACCACAGGAGACTGGTGTTTATCAAGGCAGAATGGGGAAAATGGGGACACTTTAAATGGGGAAACCATGGCAGAAGGGTTAGACAGGGAGGGAGGGAAGGAGGAAGGAGAGAGAGAGAGAAATACAGGAAATAATTATAATGCCTAGGTGGTTTTATGATTCCAGAGGAAATCGTATCAATCCAACAACCTAATGACAAATTATACATTATCTCTTCATGGGTCTATGTGTATAGCTAAAGGCTACATACATATAGCTAATCAGACAGAAGAAACCTTCCATGAGTTGTCAGCCAGGATGGTCCAAGAGACTCCCAAAATTACACAGGCTATTGCCACAGCCCTTGACGGCCTCCCAGAACTTGAAGGTAAGATCCTACTCTGAAGACAGAACATACTTCAGACACAGGATTTGAAGCAATAGAGCTGGAACTGAACTGAAATCGGACCTGAAGGCTAGCTCTCATAGCTTTGGAGAGCAATATGAAGGTGCCAACAGAAAACATCAATCCATGATCCAACACCAGCTTCAAGACCAAATAATCACATCAAGAGCCAGCACAGCACAGGCCATTGGCACTTTTACCTTGGGGGCAATCAACAGCTACTTAATTGGACTAAAAGCCCACTCAATGGGAGGAAAGTCATGTGTGGTACTGTAAACATAACTAAATACACATGCTTGGAGTGGTCATAGATCCTAGAGAAAACCCCAAGACTAATATAATTTCTTGCTATATGAAAAATATGTATCCTTGTATTTAGAGACAAATATCCCAGTTACCACTCATCAAAAAAGCTTATGGGGCTGGAGAAATGGCTCAGTGGTTAAGAACACTGGTTGTTCTTGCAGAAGACCCAGGTTTGAATCCCAGCACCCACATGGCAGCTAACAACTGTTCATAACTCCAGTCCCAGGGTATCCGACAGCCTCTTCTGACCTCTGCGGGCATTGCAATGATATGGGTGCACTTACCTACATGCAGGCAATATACTCATACACATAAAATAAAAATAATAAAATATTAAAAACAAACAAACAAAAAAGCTTATTTTGCACCAGTCAGAGACTATTACCAAGTACCACAACTGGTCATACACAGACATTGTCTATGAATTGCCCAGGCCTAAGTAACACATCTATAATGCAACCTCTACACTTAAGGTGCATGGAACATAGAACAGGGATAATGAAGACAAAACTAATGAATCTCTCAATTCTCATTAATGAAGATCCCTCATGCAACAGAGGGACAGGAATGCAAAAGGTCACAAACAGCTAAAACATAGAGATTAAGAGTCTACTGAACACTGGTCCTTAGACAGGACTCCTATATTAAACTTCACCCACCCAGGGCTCAGGGACCATCATAGAAGAGGGGGCAGAAAGATTGTAAGAGCCAGGGAGGAGGTGCATGACCATATGGAAACAGAGTCCTACAAGCTCCTAGGACGCTGCTCATATGATTCTATGGCAATGGTGTCAGCATACACAAGTCCCATGCAAACTCAATCAGATAAAAACCCAGCACAGAACTGGGGAAATGAACAGCAGACCCCAATCTTAGCTGAAGAAATATTGGCAACTGATTACTGCTAGGTGATGAAGAGCTGATCTTTCTAAAACAAGGGACTCTAGATAGGCTGACTAGACCTCAGTGGATGGACTTGCACTGGGGAACATCTGGGGACACTGACTTGACATAGTGGGCCTTAACACTGATAACAGAGTATATGGTTTCCAGTGGGGGGGGGCTATGGGAGGGTGCTGGTGGGGATGGGGGTATAAAGCTGATTATGATTGTTTGAGATATTCTGTATGAAATACACAAAAATTCAATAAAAACAAATTTTAAAAAATCATTTTTAAATTTTAAGTTTTTATGTATCTTGGAGGTATGTGCACGTGGGTGCAGGTGCCCATTGAGGCCAGAAGTCATCATATCCCTAGAAGCTGGAGTTATAGGTGGTGGTGAGCCATCTGATATGTTGGGTACTGAACTTGGGTCCTCTGCAATAGCCTAGCCACTAAGCCATCTTTCCAGTCCCCAAATCACTGACTTTTTAAGAGCAAGTTCATGAAGCTAGAGTTACAAATAAAAAAACTATGATAGTATTCATGTCAGTATCTATATTATGCTATTCCTAGTAATGAGCATATATTTTCACCAAACCTTACCATTGTTCGTAATTTCAAAACTTTCATTTTGTTAATACATAGATTTGCAAATTTGTTGCTTTATTCCTTATATTACTAGTAAAGACAAATAAAAGCATTCTACAAAGTTCTTATATGCTAGAGCTCACCACTTGAAAGACTTTTTTTGGTGCTTTTAAATTTCAAGTTAACTGGTAAACAGTAAAAGGACCTTTCCTTGATGCTTTAAAATATTGGAAGAGGGGACTGGAGAGATGGCTCAGCAGTTAAGAACACTGACTGCTCTTGCAGAAGACTAGGGTTCGAATCCTAGCACCCACATGGCAGCTAACAACTGTCCATAACTCCAGGTCCAGGGGATCTGACAGCCTCTTCTGTCCTTCACGACACAGGTGAACTTACTTACACGCAGGCATAACACTCATATGCATAAAATTAAAAAAAAATATTAAAAAAAAGATATTGGAAGAGGGGCTGGAGAGATAGCTCAGCAGTTAAGAACACTGACTGCTCTTGCAGAGGACCTGAGTTCAATTCCCAGCATCACACGGCAGCTAACAACCACCCTAACTCTAGTTCCAGGGATCTGACACTCTCTTCTGACCTCCATGGGTACTGCACGACATGGGTACACTTATACACATGTAGGCAATACACTCATACACATAAAATAAAAATAATAAATAAAAAATATTTTAAAAAAGATACTGGAAGAAATAAAACTTTTTTACTCTCCTAGACTGGTATCAACAGCTCTGGTTTCTTATGCTTTAGAATATGATTTTGGAAAAGATGAATAATTCAGCAGCTACTTTCAGATGAAATAAAATCGTATCTCTGGCTGAAACTTTACTGGTAATAAAGTAGGCTTAATTTTCTAAGATAGGGTATTTTTGTTAGCAAGTTAAAGTTTATTTTTTTCTATGAGCTCCTGCATACACATCTATACAAATATTCATTAACATTTCAATTAGTTTATGAACTTGTTAACTTCAGTATCTTCCAACAAGAGAGACAATATAATTCCTTCATCAAAAAATCAGTTTAGGGGTAATCTTTACAGAAAGTAGAAGTAATAAATGTGTATCAAACATTAATCTTGACTGAAGAGCAGCAGAGGTGAGGAGAGGTAGAGACATTAAAACATTTATTTAAAAATTTTCTTAAATATTTTTTTATTTATTACTTTTATGTGTATGTGTGTATTGCCTGCGTGTAGGTAAGTGCACCCGTGTTGTGCAACGCCTGTGGAGGACAGAAGAGGCTGTCGGATCCCCTGGACCTGGAGTTATGGACAGTTGTTAGCTGCCATGTGGGTGCTGGGATTTGAACCCAGGTCTTTCTGCAAGAACAACCACTGTTCTTAACCACTGAGCCATCTCTCCAGCCCCTATTTAAATATTAAAAAATTTTTTTTGGAGGCAGGGTCTCATGCTGTTGCCCAAGCTGGCCTAGAAATTTTGGCAATCCTCCTGCCTTAGCCTCCCTAATACTGCTATTAGAGGCATCAGATACCATGCCTAGCAAAACCTTAACCTACAAAGATATTCATAGTGTCTACATGAGATTAGAAACAGAAGCTTAAAGGTGGGCATAGTGGTACACTCCTATAATCCCAGCCATTTTTGAGTAGAGACAGGAGAATTATTGTTAAGTTTTAGGTTAGTCTGGACCACACAGCAAGATTCTGTCTCAAAACAGTCCTCATGCCCCCCACTATGGAGATAAAACACATAGGATATAATGTGATACTATTTCACAAAATTATCCACACATATTCATTCATGTGTATGGATAAATGTAGAGGGATGTTCTGAACACATAATAAAAGGTCAATAGCACTTATTTGTAAGGAGAGAATATGATCTTTATTCTTATTTTTCTGTTATTTTTCTAAATTGTTAGCTAGTTGAAACTGCATGTATAAACAAAACTTTTTTTTTTTTTTTAAAAAAAACAGTATGATTTTTG